CACTAGCTAACAATAGTAGTAAAGAGCACTAAGAGCAGTGAATCATAAAGACGGGCTTGCTTACGTGCTGCAGAATTTCCATCTCTCTGTTACCTGATGGACCTCAAGATACAGTATTACACAATGAGGCACTACAGCATTTGGTAAAAGGCACCCTGGAGCTGGAACAGCTGTAAGGGTTGTCAGTTAAGAAAACAAAAAGTGTTTTTATAGAGAGAGATATCTGTATGTCAAGATATAGTTTGTACGGGAATGAGCTTAAGCAAGAACAAATGGCTCTGTGCTGGCTCTCTAGATTTCACTTATCTTAAGATAAAAAGCACTGAACGTTACTGCAGCATTAATAGCAATACACTGGTCTGAGTGAAAAGGAAGAGTAAAATAAGTGTAGAAGCCTTTCAGCAGTAGAGAAACACACTCATCACAAGATTTTGAACTCAGAAATGTATTTTGTCATTCAGATGCCAACTCATACAAAAGTAATATGATTAACCTACAGTTTATTTCAGTCTACTGCCTATTTTAAAAATAATGACTGTATGCTAGATTCAATAACATTAGCTGTTCCTAAACACTAGCCTGCATCTGGTTATTTTCCCATGCTGTTATGGAAAGCTGAAATGTTAGCAGTTGCATGGCATGAACTGCTATGAAAGTCTAAAAACATTCTTCAAACGCATGCCGTATATATTAGGACAAAATCATTCAGCTGGTTTTTAATGAAAGAGGGCAGCATGCTGAGGCATGGATTCTTTCCACACAGAAAATGTTTTGGGGTGTATGCTGCTGATGATATGCTGCCACTATGCTGTCAGAAAGGAGAAAAATGGTATAAACAAGGCTAAACTAGAAGCTTTTTTTTTTTTTTTTTTTGCTGTTAAGAGCTCTTACTCAGTGCCTCACATTTTACATCTCAGTAAATTATAGTAGACATGAAATGTTATTAAAATGACAGTAGTATATCAATGGCAGTTTGTGTAATCTTTCAGATTTATTCAGATCAAAGAAAACAACAATAAAGAGTAAATGCCTCCCTGCACAAAGAGATGTGCAGTCCACATTAGGAATTTGATGAAAACAGAAATACCAGGATTCAATACCATTTAATAATGGTTCTGTTTTACCATTGAATAATATGATTTTATGATTCCACAAACCCCCTGCAAGTTAAATGAGCTAAACTGATGCTGTCTCAATCCTCTCCATGAATGCATGGCCGCCCTCCTGCCATACTGCAGCCCTGGCGCTCACGGCCAGACAAGCAGCCAAGTCCAAAATGGGAGCTGGCCAACAGAGCCGTACCCCAGGTGGTTTTTACATGTCACGTTTTCTTTTCAGAAAGGCGAGATTACACAGGTCTTGCTGCAAGCAGACTAATAATAGACTAAGAAGTCTCCAAAATAACTATTTAAACTGTAAATTTCTTTAAAAGGGTCACTACTAAGGTGCATGATCGAGAAAGGGACAGTACCACAAAATGTATTATGGAATCAGATGTGACAAGTCTCTGGTGTTTTTATAGTAAACTCCAGTGTTTTAATGAATTTTAATGAATTATCTCAATTGTTTTCTAAGATCTCACTTTACTGTTTAGGAACTCTGAACTGCTGCAACCTAACTGCCTAAGACAGAGTCTTCCAGCCACAGAATCTATTGAGACAGAACCTGCTATGTTGGTGCAACATTCAGAAGAACAAGAAGGAACATGGAGAGTTAAGTGAATGCAGATTTTTTTATTAATAATTTCACATTAAATAATGCCACTGTTTATTGTATTTCAATATAAAAAATTTTGATAAAGTCTTAAGCCTTTCCATGGCAAAGCTATTCTTTGTACTTTTCAAATCCATCCTTCAACCAGCAGTAAAAAGCATTTCCAAGACAGAATAAATACTATGAATACTCATTCCAGTTTAAATGCATTCCAGTTTCAGTTCAATGGGATTACTCACATGCTGAGAGTTAAGCCTTTTCAGGTTGAATTGGATGAATGACAAGACACTTAAAACCCTAAAAATATTTAGCAGTATATTTTGGTTCTTATTTTCCACCCGTAAAAAGAAAGAGTATTCTATAGCAGCAAGTTTACTCTTCTGGTTTTGTTGATGTTTAAAATAAGAAGGAAAAAAAAAAAAGAAGAAAAATGGGCCAGGATCTCAAAGGTTCTTCTGGGAGTTAGATATCTAAGTTTCATTAAAATTTAATGGGATTTATACGCTTAAACTTTAGGTTTCTTTAAAATCCAAGCCAAAACTGGATATCCTTAGAAGTTTCAGAATGATAAGAGCAAAATATAATGCTTGATTCATTTGAAATGCCAGCAACCTGCCAATTTCCTGTAACAGTAGACGTTGCTTGACCAGACACAAGTACCAGTTAAGTTTAATAATCAGAGCTATCTGTATAATAGTAGAAAGGATAAAGTTTAATAGTTTCATTTCTTCCCTTTGTGGGTAATGAAATAAGACTAATAAGGGTTCTATTTCAAACAGGAATAGGCAGTTCATCAAGAAAATACCCACTTGCATACTGATGAATTCTGATATAGATTACATAGCAAAGAGTGGTAGTTACTTGTTTTCCTATTCTCCACATTTATTACTAGCTTATTGAAGCATAAGTATGCTGGGGCATGAGAAGGAAGAAATGATAGTGAAGATAGTATCTTCATATGCATATATTGGATTTGTTTGACAAAGCAACATGTATATGTGTAGAGGGTTAGGCCAGATGACCTTCCAGAGGTTCCTTACAACTTATATTACTCAGTGATTCTACGACTATTTGAAATGCTTAAAGAAGTAGAGGACATTAAGCTGGGATATGTACTCTTGGGGGAAAAATTAACTAGACAGTGAAGAAAGATTTTCAGAACTAGGGTCCAATTATGTATTTCCAAGAATTATTGCATTTATAAAAACTAAGTATTTCTACATAAAGGTTTAAACAAGCTTCTGTTTCAAGATTGCCTTCAGAACTAGCAGATGTGCATGTGGACTAATAGCTGCCAAAAGACGCTAGTTATACATCTTACTGAAAACCATAATAGATAAAGATATTAAATTCACATTAAAGGTGCCTTTTTGTTGTGTGCCATTACCTCAAAGACTGCAATAAGTGACCTAAGCCCTAGTTTTACAGTATTGACAGGTGCATGCAAGAATGAAGTCACAAGATTTATAGCAAAGAACTGGTGTTGCTTCATTCATCATGTCTATGTTAAATGTTACTCTTAAAAACAGTTTATATAGGCTCTCTTTAGAAGCAGTTTTACTGTGAATACCCCATTTAGTTAGTAGAATTCCAATTATGTGAGTGAAAAGACACAGGAAACAAACATAAGACACAGTGGTTGAATGAATGATCTCTACAGATGCAGGAACTGTATTTGTCCTAAACAAAAATTATATCTATCATTTCATCAAACTAGGTTTTGTAGAAAAACAGATTCTATTTTAAAATAATGTTTTGACTACTTCATTTTGATTTGAAGTACAACTCTATTAAAAAGTTTTTCTAATAATGACATCTTTAGGACAGACTGTTTCCAAATGATTTTCAAACTAAATTTGTACTGTAAGTTAAAGAGGAAAAACACCTTCCAGAGGTGATTTTTTTTTTTGGTCAGACATGACCACCTTTCAGACCTTCACAGCATTACTTGTCTAAAAAAATCAAAGACTATATCAAATTATTAAAAACCTGAAATGAGATTCAGCATACATTTAATTTTCATAATTCTTATAAAACGGTCAGAGAAAATTCCATCTAACACTTGTGTAATTATAGCAGAGTTCTGAAATTATAGAACCCAGTATGGGTACTATACTGGCATTTTCAAGTTTCATTGTGAGGTGCACAACTGGGAGGAAACACAAATTTTACAGTCTTAAAATCCCCTTTCCCCACCCTCATAATTCTTTAAAATTATATACAGTTTTTCTGTGTAAAAATCAATGTGGCACATTAAGGCTTCTAAACTTTGATGCCTACATCGGTGTAAGAGGTGACAGCACCTCTGTCAGCTGGTCATGATGGTGAGAAGAACTTGGTTCAGTTGCCTACCTACCTGTATCTAGTGTCATTTCAGATGTTTTAAGACATTTTACACCTGCAAAGAACTAGCAGGCATGACACAGGCTACACGAGACCTGCACACCTTTGTGAAGCAGCAGCTGGGGCCAAGGTGGATATCCTATGGCATCTTAATTTGTTTTGCAGAAGTATCCAGTGCCAATTAGTTAAGCCCAGTGGAAACTACTGAGCTATTCTGTTCATCCAAAAGTAGATGTCTATAACTGGTCAAGTAAAGAGTTTCCTTATTTAAGCCAGATACCTCCACAGAAACCTAAGTGTAGGTACCCTCATTTGCAAGCCCAAGAAAAACATGCAGCTTTCATCTACTGAAGAAGTTTAATTTACGTAAGGATACAAATCTAGAGATTTGGACACAAATTACAGAGAATATTTTAGCACAGGTTTTAATGAAAAACAGTTCAATGGATGTCATAGTAAACATTTTGATTTTACAGAGCATGTTGTATCGAGTTCTGAACCAATATAAGAGGTGACTTTTAGTTGCGCTCTTTCTGTGTTGAATTCTTCCTTGAACCAAATGTCAACTCAAAATCTGACCCATATTAATTTGAAGTTACTTGAAAAAGTAGGATTACTATAATCAAGCATTTTTTCACAATGCCTTTTAACCTCTGTGTCTGCTGTAATTAATCTGTATGTTTAACTCACTGAAGCTTAGCAATTCTTTTAATGTAACAGCAAATCAGGAAATGGGTCAGAGTATTTCACCTACACATTTCACTTACTGCATTAAGCTGGAAACATGTAGAATCTGAAATTTGGGCCCTACATTTTTTTTACTTACGTAGTCTTTCTTTCAATACCTAATTCAGTCAAATCAGAAGAGTGGGGAGTTGCAAAAGAGAAAACACCAGAACAGAAATAACAAACTGCTAATAATTATGAACTTCAGTTTTACTTACTATTGACATCAGTGTTAATATATAGTGCTGTAAATTCTGCCCATGGTGACGAACCATTTTGGTGTCAGCTGTAACCATCACTTCTACGTATCGTGGGTAAGAAAGAAAACGTTTTTTCCGGGAATGTGGATTATTGCCACCATCCTTTAAAGATAAATTTTTAAAAGCATACTCTATACTTGGGGACTTCTGTAAAACATTTTTCTCTTCATTTAAATTGCTGAAGTCTGGATGTAGTAAAGTGCTTTCTTTCAGCTTGTTTTCTGTAAAGCAAAAAAAAGATTTAATGTAGAATGCAGTTTTTAAATTTAAAAATAGGTAGGTAAAACTCTGCCTAAAATAGACAAAGAAAAATTGGAATTATGAGCTTACTTCCAATGAAACCAGTACAAGAATAAAAAAAATAAATTAAACATGGAATGCTGTAATAGGAACATCAAAATAGCTATCTTGAACATTAGCATTTACTCTCTCCATATACAAATTAATTGTTGAAAGTTGGTTAAGAATTAGACAGTGGTATTATTGTTCCTGGAACACAGTGTAATCCAAACAGGCGGGCTGGAAGGAGATAAGTACTACAATCTAAGCAGTGCAAGAAAGGAAACAAATTAAAATATCCATTTTTACACACAAACCTTTAACACCAATAAAACCAACCATAGCAAGCCATAACAATGACTAGACCTGAGTCCTGAATTCAAGTCCCTGTTGACTTTTTCATTTATGTATCATTAAATTTGTATAGAGTGATTTCCTTGACAGCTTTATTAATATTCATTATATTGAATCAGGGTTTAAAAGATATAGTTTGGAGGCATTTTAGTATTGCAACACTTCCCAATTATAGCATGTACTCCAGCCATCAGGGACTTCTGATGCCTAGTAAAACCCATGCATTGATCACAGTCATATCAGCAGCAACCCACGAAAGTACTTAGCTGAGAAGCACATCTGAATTCTCAGTGCTCTCAGGAGCTTGAGCACCTAATGAGATAGTTCAAGCCACTCAGCAGCAGTCTACACTGTTTTTCTGGAGGCTAGATGTCCTTTTAATGAGCAGCTACTAAAGAATATGGCTCACAATATAGCCATAGGGTATGGAATATATAGAATATAGTCCCAGTAACTAACTACATCCTTCCAATGACTTAAAAGGACTACAGTACTGACTACAAAGATCCTGACTCAGTCATTCTCAGCTGGAAAGGATTTAAATCTATGCATTCCATATTTCAGTGGAAGAGCCCTCATCAGTAAATTTTAAGCCACTTTTGACAGGTAAACTGTCTGTCACCATTAAAGTCAGGCACAATACAGCCAGAAAATTATAGAATCAGTAAGGCTGGAAAAGACCTCCAAGATCATCTGGTCCAACCATCCCCCTATCACCAGCGCCACCCACTAAACCATGTCCGTGAGCACCACATCCAACCTTTCCTTGAACACCCCCAGGGACAGTGACACCACCACCTCCCTGGGCAAGCCATTCCGATGCCTGACTGCTCTTTCTGAGAAGAAATGTCTCCTCATTTCCAACCTGAATCTCCCCTGGCACAACTTCAGGCCATTCCCTCTTGTCCAAAATGACGCTAAAGGGACAACAGTGAGCACCTTTAAGTTTGCTGAGTCAGTCACACCTGAGAGTCAGTCACAAAATACAAGTCCAGTAATTGCAAAAACTATTGGCGCTAACAATAGAGAGGGAATTCAAAAGAAATGTGGGGGCTGGCATAGAAAAGGAACATGTCAATGACTATCTACATATATCAGGTATTTTCAGACTGACTGAGCCTGATGCGATTAAAGAGAACTATCTGAAGCAGTCTCACATCCACATGATTTTTAGTAAGGTACAAAAGGTGTCTGAGACTCTAGAGCACTGGAAAAAGTGCAAAACAGCACCCATATTTCCAATGAAAGTTTAAGACAAATTTGTGGACCAGCCAAGACAACTTCAGTACTCAAAGAAATAAAAATAATTGTGTTTATAAATAACCAAAAGGATTAGTAGTAGCTATTGTATTTATCAAAAACATTATGACAAACTCTTCTAGTTTTCCTGTACTGAGGAAACAGAATTTATGAATAAAGGAAATGCAACAGATGTCTTATCCTGACTTGCGTAGGGCTTATAGCACAGTTTCCAATTAACTTTTCATCAGCAAGTTAAAAAGAAACTAGAAACAAGTGTGAAAAAGATTAGCTAGACATCTTTAGAAGTAATTACTATGGTCTGATTCCAAACTAAAAAGACGTATTGAATGAGACATGTCACCTTTGAAATCTATCTGCTATTCAAAATACTTTATTCACAAAGAAAAAAATAAATGTGCAGATGTCAGAGGTTGGGAAGAGTACTACACATGTTGGAGAACAGCATCAGATCTCAGAGTGATCTAGAAAAATGAAGGCAATGGCTTAGAAAAAGGAAAGCTGCAATTCATGGGAAACAAATGCAAAGTTCTACATTTGGCCAGAGATACGTGGGATGAAAAGTGACAAGTTAAATAGTTTTTTTTTTGTTTGTTTGTTTGTTTTTTTATTATTATTATTAACCAAAGGATCTCAAAGATGATAGTCAATGACAAGTTGAAACAATAGATTTTTTTTTGGGGGGGGGGGAGGAGGCAAGAAACAGGACAGACATGGACAACAGCAACATAAGTTAAATTGGAATGTATTAACTGCTGCGTTATCCATATGCATCTAAGGTATTCCTTCCACGCTGTTCAGCCTAGGCTATGCTTCTACTAACACCTTGTGTTTGGGGAATTTTCTTATTTTTTTAAAAAAAGTAAACTAACGCAAACAGCTTAAGTATTTATTAAATTAATTAATTTTGCCTTGTTTTTTTTTTTTTCAAAAACAAAACAAAACCTGGAAAAAATCCAGCTGTATGAAGAAACCTGAACACCTCATCCATACAGAACTGTTTAGAAAAATGGGTATGTTTACTCTAAAGAGAAGTATGTTACCAGCAGACCTTCTTAAGATCTGCAACGAAAAGAATACACTATCAACTCCAAAAAACAGTTGAATACCTCTTGGGCTTAAATTGTTACAAGGTAAATGTAGGTAAGGTTGTAAGGAAAACCTTATTTCACAAGCAGTTATGTGCAGGGATAGAAGGTCTAGGAAAGTTTGTAGTTTCCATAGAGATCTGACAAATGAATATTAGAAATAGAAGAGGAGTTGATCTTGACTTGCTACAGTAGCATAAGCAATCTTATTTCCTTTCAGTCCTTCTTTCAGTGTTTCTTGTAATTTATTTTAAGAAAACAAATAATATATGCACAGATTAGGAAATACTGTAAAGGTAAAACAGAATATGGCAAGTCAAGGTTTAACGTTTTGATACAGTATCGATGAACAAGTAAGAAACAGTTTAAAACAAAAGAAAATGGATGAGGGATTCAAAGAAAATTTAGATATATCCAATACTAATTTTCTTTAGACACAGATAATGGAATTCATGTGAGTATATTAAACATCTATGTCTAATCATCCAGCTTCTCCTTACCGTCAGTGGAATGAAATTCACATTTCTTGGTAACAAATCATCTTACCCTAAAGAAGATGTCCAAAATAAGCACATGAATGATAGTAAATAAAAGAGACTCTTTCTCTTCTTTAAAAACAAAAAGGGGCTCAGGATGACTAACGCAGATGTACAATGTCTAGAGTTGGATGAGACGGGTCACTATTATCATTATTGTTATAAATCACAACCTGATCAAACATCCACTGCTTAACTTTCTTCCCAATAGAAAGCCTCTCCACATCCCCTTGTCAAAATCCATTAACTAAAGAACAACAAACGCTCATAATCACAAGTATTGCTATATATACTCTGTTTCTCCTTGAACAACAACAACAAAAAAAGCAAATAACAAGGCAAGACTAGCATTAAAGGAGACAAATCTCTTCGGAGAATAGAAATATAACCACACAAGTTTTTTCTCCATAAATATTTGTGCAATGTCAAACCACCCCTCAAAATAAGTTACAGTAATTCCTGGCTCAGAGTCTTTTGTAGCTGATACAATACATGAAAAGGGGAAAATGACCACATTCTTAATGCTGGGAGAGCCTTTTCTTATACTAAATTGCTTATATTAAGCATATTCTATCATACGCAGCACAGGAAGAAGAACACAACCTGAAAGATGTCTTCTTTGGTTCAGTACATACCATTCATCATTTGAAAATATATTTTTTATCAATAGTTTCCTGGATTTTTCTATCGATAGTTGCCTGGCTTTCAAAGTACTAACTCCATCTTCTGCAATGGCAACCACAAATAAATAGATCGCAACAGCTTACAGAAAAATAGACTCAGGAAAATAAATACAGTTCAGTAGAATTTGTTCAATGGAAGATGATCATAATTAAGGCCAGAAAAAAAACAACACCATCTAAAGAAAAGCAGAATTCAACATATTTTTCTGAGTACAAAATGCAATCTAAGAATTTTCCAAAATTCCATCACTAGCCACACAAGCTACTCCACTATTTTTGCAACTGATGTTTGAAAACAGCTGGTCAGATATTCCTTAAAAGAAAGTAATAGTTGAGACTTTGTGATTTTTTTTTCTCCAGATGTACTCAGTGTTGCATAAACATTCCTGAAATGCAAGTAGATTCAAAGTGCAAGAAATGCAGATTTCAGTCTCATGTAAAGTGGAGAATTTTAATTAGACAGGATGTTTCTAAATGCCAAGCTGAACCAAATTGAAGCTGCTTTCTCCTATTTTGGGTCTCCACCCAGTTATGTTTTCTTTGATGCCCACTAAATGAAGCCCATATGCATCTATTAAAAGAAGGAAGGCATTCTCTCAATAGACTTAAAAAATGAGAAATCCTTCAGATACAGTACAAATGTTTTTAAAATGGCACTTCTAGCAAAGCTTCAGAAGTACATTTCTCAGACAGGGTCTTCAAAGGCTTCTACATCGTAACACCCCAAAGCAGATGACATTTCAGTATTTAGAATGTGACACATTCACTTGTGACACATCCTAACAGTATGCTTGTATGTTATACCCCCTTGCTTCTATTTAATTTAAATAAAGCTAAACATTGATTTGTAGTATGACTACATTATTAAAATACCCATGCAGAAAAACACCTGTATCAATGGGTAATATTATATTTACTTACATTTTTAAGGAGGACAGATGTTCTATATTATCCATTAGATTTGCAATAAATTCATTATCTTTTGTGAATATAAACAACATTAACTCCTGTGGATCTGCTCCTTAAATGTTTACATATGACACACAGGTGTAAAAATAAATCACAGAGAAGTCCTTAAAACATCAGGATACACTTCAACATACTCATTTTCTCCCACATCTAAATTAACCACTGGCAAGAAAAAAGCAATTGTTGCCATGCCTATGTGAAAGAAAAGCATAGGTTCTAGTGGAACAATCTTTCTTTTTTTTTTTTTTTTTTTTTTTAATGTCAGAACACAAACACTTGAAAAAGTCAAATTGAAATTTAAAGTAGGACTATACCTGAAACTTCACATGGTTTATGGGATTTCTGATACTTTTTATTAAATTCTTCATGCCTGTATATAAGATGTGGTTTGTTATGCTCATCTTCATGTTCACCTCCATCCGTTTTCATGAGAGGTTCTAAAAAATATTCACCATCATGTGTTTTAAAGGTGCCCATCTGAAAGTAAGAGAAGTAATTGATTTAATTTGCACTAAAATACCAATATAAAAGCAATTCTAATGGAAGTAAACAATTTAAAATAGTATTTTTAGAATAATAGAAATAAATTTGCACATGAGATGGAGGAAACTTCAGAAAAGCTGCAGAGGCGGAAGCTGGAAGTAAGGCAAAGTTTCTCTTTCAGAATCTGGTCCCACCAGTGTAAACCATAACAAAGACTACCTTAGGTATTACATATCACATAAACATATGTAAATGTTATACAGAGTTAATGCAACAAAGAAGATCAGAGAAGTCAAAACAATCTAGGCATACCCAAGCAAGATCACCTGGGAAACTGTGCAGAAGGGAGTGGAAGCCATCAAGAAATTCAGGATTTGTGTTGTCTGAGTTCTAGATGAGATCTTATTGTCCTTTATATCACTGGCATTTTTATTCTAAACTTGCATTTTGTCCACATATTAGCAACAGTGTTAACCGACTATTCTTTTCAGTATTTTTAAAAGACTGAAACTAGTTTCAGGAATTCAGAGTTGACAGTTTCATAAATATGTTTCTTCTCTCGCTTTTTTTTTTTTTCCTCCTAGGGGACACACATGGTTAACTATGTACTGGGAACCAAAGAAACTTGATTACCAACCAAAGCACTGGCATACATACAAAGGAAAAGAACAGAAATTAAGCTCCTTTTCCCACCGCCCCATAATCCATTCAATTACAAAACCCTAACATGGAATCTCGTCCTTCTCTCTGCACTTCTAACAAAAAATCATGGTTTCCTATGGCTTTAGTGCCATATTTCAGAAGATTACGAAAAGATGTGAAACAAAAGATGTGTAACTAACAGAGGCGAGGACAGGAGCAAGCCTCGCTTAGAAACTACACAGCAACAAATGAGGACATAGTTTTATAAAACACAATTGAGGCTAGTGCAATTGCTAGAAGGAGAAAAAAACATGTGAGAATTTCAATTTACCACTCAGAAAGAGTGGGTGCATTGCATCCTGCTGACTGTTTTGCCGTATTAGTGAGGCATTTTATCCGTTAAGAGAACAGCAAACATTTACATTATATGGATTAAGAGATTAGGTATTCAAGGCAACCTTGCAAATGAAGAGTGAGTGGCAGAGCAAGGTATGTAAGAATAGATGTGAGAATTGTTTTGTTTTGTTTTCCAGCAGCCTACAGAAGTCTTTTAAAATCTGCTGCAGGCTACTTTTGTAACCAGGGCGTTACACCTGAATTATATTATCCACTTGAATTCAGGGCCCATCTAGCAGTGGCCAGTTTTCTGTTTTTAAAAGACTGTTACGTTTCAGGTACATGTCAGACTATCTGTAATCCTACCTGTTAAGTATCATCCAAAATTGTAAACACACCGTGGTTGAAGCCTCTGCATCATCTTTGTTGTAGCATGGAAAAGAGTCCCAACCTCACTAAATATTGCCCCTCAAGACTTGTAAAAATCTCATTTCAGTAGAAATCCTTTCCCCCCACCTCAGTTTCAAACATTTAAATTGTTTTCATGCTGGATCCTGAATGTGTTCAGAACAGTCTCTTCACACGTGTGTTTTCAGGACATGTTTACAGAGGACTGCAGACTGAGTGCACAGGGAATGCTATCTACCGTCATGAGAAGGGTCTCCAAAACCTAGGGTCTCTTGAAAACAGCTATGCTACAGCTTGTCAGTTAGACCAAAGTAGGTGAAAATTTCTAGGCAAAATGACAGGGACAGATCCTATCCATAAAGGGCAAAGCAGTAAGAAGGGATGCTAAGACTCACATCGATGCTTTTGTTTGAATTGTCCAAGTCCAAACCACCCAAGCAGCATAAGTTCAGGTGCACGTGATTTGTGAACAAACATGCTAATTAATTCTTTTCTTCTGGCATATCCTAAGCCCTATTTCTAGGTAACAGAGTCTTTTATTATTATTATTATTATTATTATTATTATTATTATTATTATTATTAAGATTTAATAAGAGCAAAACCTTTACTGCTACTACTTTATTCCCCCATGTACATTTTATTTTCTTCCTACGCCTAACAGCTAGAGCAGGTTCTTTATTGGCTTCTTCCATGGCTTTTCCAATTAACAGGCTTTCAGATCTTACAAAGAAATGGTTTCAGCTATGACAAACATACCGAGTATGAGAATAATAGCACAGAACTAGCAAGGAAAGAGTTTGTGCTGCATTTTCAGACTCATCTTCCACAATAGCAAACTTCCATCAGAAAAAAAAAAATAAAAAAAAATTCAAGAACAAGGGTTTATATCTCTACCACTTCACACTCAAAAAAATAATAAAAAAAATTACTAAGATGTTTTTGAGTGAAATCAATAACTTTGAAAACTCCACTCAGCTTCCTGACCCTGTACTCAGTCAAATGCTACAAGTAGTACGCTACCTAGGAATTCAGAATTACATTTTTGAATACATTGACCTACCCAGTCCATAGAGAGAGTCAGCACAAGGCATCATGGCAAACCCAAGTCAGTCTAACATTGCTGATTTCCCCTCTTCTCTTTGGGCACTCCCACACTGCACTTCAGCACCAGCAATGCAAAGTGCACTGACGTCTCTCCAGGTAAAATCTATGCCTTCTATCAAGGAAAATTATTTTTCAACCAAAATAGCAAGGGTTACCTGGGAACAGAGAACGATTTCTCCTGAAAATAAATACATAAATAAATAAAAAGCTTTGTATCATCAAAAGCTTACTGCAAAACCAGACTCTCAGGTACCTCAGAAGGCGCTCTTATGCCTGCCTATCCCATGGGGCCTAACTATAAATACACAATATCAAATGCCTGGCAACATCTGGGCATAACTTTCATCACCTTATAGTTTAAATATTTCAGTCAGAACTCATACAAGTATCTTCTTAACTGAAATCCAGAATCCTGTCCTAACAGTCAACACATTGAAGACATCTAGGGAAAATAGGCAGGTAATTTTCCCTCTTACAAGCTACTCAGAAGTAGCAGTAACTGTGCTTAGCTCTAGTTTACATTAAATAGAGAAAATGCCTAAAAAGCAAAGGAACAAATTCTCTTTCATTAAAAACAGCAAAGAAAAAAAGAATACATCATAAGCTTACAACCCAAGAAGTTTGGACAGACAGCTGGAAGGGAGGAATGCTCCATTACATTTCATGCCTTCAGAATTGTTCTTAGTTTTTTCTCTCCTCAACAGTATATGGATACACAAGCAGTAACTACTGCCACTGACTGGTTAGGAACACCTCCCAGCAGCAGCCCATGATAACTGTGCAAGTTCAAGTGAACTCTTTGTAATGCAAGTGAAAACACAAAGGGTAAGAGACAAAAAAAGTGCTCTGACTTAAGAACAGAGCATTATAACTGTAATTTAAAACCCAAGCAGACATCACAACTTATTTAACAAACACCAGTGAAATAAATTTGGACTGGAATACTGAACTAACAAAAATCCAAGCTTTGGGAGACAGCAACAGCCATATGTGATTGCGGTCAGATTAATGAGTGGAAACCAGCATCTCAGAACGCAACTCTGTCAAAAGAAAAAGTTAAGAGAAGCTAAGCTTAAAACCACTAATATCAATTCTTAGACTAAAGCTGGATTTTGATTAACTACACATGGTTTTCTCCTTGTTTGCCAAGCACAGAGGTCTACAAACTACGCTGTTCTGCCTGGTGTGCAGTCCTTCATTCACAAAAGCAATGCTTCTTCTGGTGACAGATCCTGCAGATACAAATGGAGCCGTTACTGTGAGTTAGACTCACTAGGAAGAGGGCTGTAGGATCCAAATGAAAAATACTTTGGTAAAAACAAATAAACCAAACAAAGTCACTTAGATGTACAGAGGCAGGTTGTTGAAACAGGAGCCCAAGCATTTGCAGGAAATGAAATCAGAAATGAACTGGATTTACTTATCAGCCACAGATGCCTCTCAAATCATGTAACAAGAAATCTGCCCTAAACATTCTATTTCTGTTCTCAGATAAAGAGGGAAAAGTACATTTAAAAGATCTCTTCAGTGGAAATGGAATACAAAATTGAAAACAGTCTCTTGCACATCATAAATAAGTGGTCCAAAGAAAGTAGGAAAGAGTGAGCACTACCCAGAGCTGTGTGCGTATGCACAGATTTGAGGAAATTTATGAGAAAGCCCACATGAGAAAGAGAATTTATTTCTTGGATTTAAAATCTTCTGGATGAGCTAGACACAATATATTGAATCAAGGTTCAACGGATCGATGCTGCTACTCACTCTGTATGGTATGTCTCCATGGTTTAAAGTGGCTTAAAAGTCCATAGTCTTAATCAATGTCTTTGCTCTATTCCAGGAGTAGTAGAAATAAGTATTGCAGAATTTATGGTTGAAGTACGGACCATACCCATATACAAATTACATCCTTGTGCATAATGGCAACTTGGAAGAACACATGGAAGACATAAGGGATATACAGCAGGTTTCAGAAACATGGAATTAATCTTAATATGTCCAACAGCAAAATTGGAAAGATTTCAGAAAAATGCTAACCGAATGACTGAAGTTCTGGAAAACATGACTCCAAACTGGCAGACTCCCTCCCAGGTGAGCTCTGCTCCTACACTTAAGTATTTTCCATGCCCTCGTAGCAGAGCTTCTCAACTCCAGCTCAAAATCTGCAAGTAGTTTACAGCACAGGTACTTTCTCAGTCAAAGTAAGCTAGAAAATACCTTTCTTATGTATTATTCTCTCTCTCTCGTTCAGTGTTGTGTTAATTCAAAACTCTTCTGAATAATGTGAGAAGCCCTTCACCCTTCTCTGCCTGTTCCACAGTTACGTTTTCTAATGAAAGACCTGAGAAGAATAGCCTGATTAGTTCACTGAAGGAAAAAAGCATTAGAGGTTATCTGATCATGGTACAGTGCCAACATCTGGAAGAGAGATTTCTACCAGAAAATAAAGTAGAAGCACAATAAGATGTAGTGGTTGCCAGCTCATTTATGAAAACTACAGATAAT